GGATGGATTTAGCAAAGAGAAGTTTATTCTCTCACAGTCCAGTAGGCTACAAGTCCAAATTCAGGGCTTCAGCTCCAGGGGAACAATTTCACCATTGGCTCTGGAGGAAGGTCCATGTCAACAGTCTTCCCTCGGTCTGGGAGCTTCTCTGCGCAGGAACCTCAGGTCCAAAGGACGCACTCTGCTCCCGGCACTGCTTTCTTGGTGGTTTGAGGTTTCCATGTGTTTCTGCTCGCTTCTGTCTTTTATATCTCAAAAGAGATTGCATTAAGACACTAATCTTGTCTACCTCATCAGTATAACCTCATCACAGTGACAGAATTTGTAACACATGAGGAGATCACATATAATCTCATCATAGTGGTAGCATTTACAACACATAAGGAAATCACATCAGATAACACAATCATACAATACTGGGAATCACGACCTAGCCAAGTTGCTACCTACATTTTTTAGGGGACACAGGTCAATCCATGACACCTATGGAGTGCAGTTCTTCTCTGCAACACATGGGGTTGTCAGGAGTTGGAATCAACTTGATGGCATCTGTGTTTTTTTTTTTAATGCTATTACTATTCACATGAATGTAAGGTATTAATACCTTAGAACAAAATTCTAACGTCCTTCAAAACTTATCTGCTGTCTTTCATTATTTTTTCACTGCAAAAATAATTGGTAGGGTATCATCTAAGTCCTAATTTTTTAATCTTTTCTTTTTAGATTTTCAAAAATTTAGCAAAGATAGTACAGAGAGTTCCCATATACCCCTCATCCAATTTCCACTATTGTTAATATACTATTATGATACTCTATGAAACCCTGGTGGCACGAGCTCAGCTGCTAACCAAAAGATTAGCAATTGAAATCTACCAGCTGCTCCCTGGAAATCCTATGGGGCAGTTCTACTCTGTCCTATAGGGCCACTATAAGTCAGAATTGACTCCATGGCAATGGGTTTGGTTTTGATTTGGTGGTGCAGTGGTTAAAGTGCTCAGCTGGCAGAGTTCAAACCAACCAGCTGCTCCACAAGAGAAAGATGTAACAGTCAGCTTCAGTAAAGATTACAGCCTTGGAAACCCTATAGGGCAGTTCCACTCTGTCCTATAGGATCGCTATGAATTGGACTTGTCGGCAATGGGTTTGGTTTTTTCTTTTTTCTTTCTTTGGTTAGTCATAACTAAGAAATATTGGTACATTACTTTTAAATAAATTCTATATTTAGATTATACTAGTGTTTTCCATGAATCCTTTTCTGTTCCAGGTTCCCATCCAGGTTACCACACTACATTTAGTTGCCACGTGTCTTTACCTTTCCCTAGTCTATGAGAGTTTCTCAGATTTTCCTTGTTTTTGATGATCTTGACTGTTTTGAGGAGTACTGGTCAGACATTTTGTAGAATGTTCCTCAGTTTGGGTTTGTCTGATGTGTTTCTCATGGTTAGACTGTGGTATGGACTTCTGGGAGGAAGACCAAAAAGTGCCATTCTCATCACATCAAAAAGCACATAGATCAACATAGCTTATCACTATTAATGTTAACCTTGCTCACCTGGCTGAAACAGTGTTTATCGGGTTTCTTAGCTGTAAAATTTCTGTTTTCCTCTCTTTCCATACAGTATTCTTAAGGAGCAATTCAGTAAGTACGGCCCAAACTCAAGGGCAGGGAGGAGAGATAGGCTCCACCACCTTGGAGGGAAATGTCTACATAAAATTTTGGAATTCTTCTGTAAGGGAGATTTGCCTTTTATTCCCTATTTATTTATTTATTCAATAGTTTATTTATAATAGTATGGATCTAGGGTGTAATTTATTAACTACTGCCTGACATGCTTGAGAGTTAAGGTCTGGAACTGGTTATATAATCATTTTGATATGGGAACTTTATAGTGATTTTTGGCTGTAAAATAAGCTAAAAATACTGAGGCAGGGTAAGTGTGGTTCAGGGAAAACAAGTTCAAGATTTAGGAAATAGTGATTCAAGACTTTGACTCCCTTGCTCACATGCCAGGTGGCCTTGGGTAGATCAGTTTTTCTTTTCTCCTTGAAATTTATTTTTCTCATCTGTGAATGAGACTATAAATACTTGGTCTCCTATTGTAAGGTATCACATAGGATAATAAAAATATAATTTCTTTGAGTCCTAAAAGCTCCAAGTGTATATAAAATGATATTATTTATATACTAGTAATATTCATTACATGCATCTCCAATGTATAAAGTGATGGATAAAATGAGAAGTGATATAAAAATGGCTTAAAAAAAAAACTTATTTCAACTTAATTCAAGTGAGTAACCCGCTGCTGTTGAGTCAATTCTGACTAATAGCAACCCTAAAGGAAAGAGCAGAACTGCCCCATAGGGTTTCCAAGGAGCACCTGGTGGATTCAAACTGCTGAACTTTACGGTTAGCAGCTGAACTCTTAACCACTTCTCCACCAAGGTTTCTATTCAAGTGAGTAGCCTCATCAAAATTTCACCTCCGTACCGACGTCTTCTTGCTCTCTTGTAATCTTCCAGGCTGGTGTCCATTTGAGTTGTGCAGAATAATACCATAGCCACTGGCTACATGTGGATATTCAAATTTAAAATAATTAAAACTAAATACAATTCAAAATTCAGTTCCTCAATTACAGCAACCACTTTTCAAGTGTTCAAGAGTCACATGTAGCTGGTGACTATGGTACTGGACAACACAGATGTAGAACAGAGAGGTTTTTGAGGTTTATTGCCCTTCTTAGTCTTGGGATTCCTTTCTCGCACTCACCACCTGAGGTCTGCCACCTCATCCTTTTGTGTTCCTTAGGCAAGATCATGCATCGGTTTCTTTTTGCCACTCTGCTCTTCTTACTTTCTCCAAAGGTTTCCAGACCTCACTGAAACAAGTTCTTAGATATATCCCTTTGTACAGGGTCAGACTCTGTCAAACAGTAGCACAAAATACTTACTGTCCGCAGTCCCATGAATTATCAATATATTTTCTTCTCTTAAGCCATGAATGTTATGTAACACACTGGATGCCTATAAAGGAAAGCACACATATCTATAAACATATAGATTTAACCATGCAATTTGACTGGATTTTTAGGAAAAAAAAAAACAACTCTTCTTTTTTCATTATCTGAAAATTACGTACCTGGTAATTGCTTTCTTCCTTAGATGGTATACCAAGGTATCTCTCAGAGAAAGCTGAGGCTGTGACCCAAGAAAACAGAAACTTAAGAATAAACTAAAAACGATCTCACTAGTACACTTTATTATTTAATCTTCACGTTAATTCTCATGCTCCAGTAAAATCAGTTGAATAAGGGAAGTGATAAGCCGCTAAAGTTATGATTTAATAACCTATGATAAATGAGCTCCACTGTGCTCTTCTGCATTGGGGTTTTCTTTTATACAAATCAAGCCATCGAATTAAGTCATTCTGTAGGAAATACTCACCATACAACTTCATGTCTGTGATGGGTGCCACCACTGAGCCACATTTAAAAAGCTTTTCATCTGATTTTAAGATCATTGATGCAACATAGCCACCATACCCCTGGCAAAATAAAAAGTCTTAACAATGACTCATCATCACTGTTTGGTAATCTACATACAGGAATATACATATAATGTCAAATTTGAGAAGTAATGGACTAATATCACTTTGTGCAGATGACAATTTTGAAAAGAGTTCTTCAGTTTTTTATATAACAGGCTGATTTTAATAACCTGAAATCCAATATAAAATTGTATATCACCAAATGTCAAATATTTGTTCTTTAGTTGCACACTGTATTTGTGGTAACAACCTCAAATAATTTGAAGCTAGGAAAATAAAGCATTCATTAAATTGGATATCATTTCAGGCAAATTACACACACACGCATTAAAACAAAACATTTAAAATAATGATGGTTATGTAGAATCAGAAAAAGAAAATAAAAGGTATAAAATACTTCATTATGAACATATGCCCTGCTTTCAATTTCACACAACTAAATATTGAAGAAAATGGGATGGACTGAATAATGTTGCTAGTTAGGTGAATTGGACTATTGTTTAAAGTCAGTTTTTAAATATCCTCTTGCGATTTTTTTGAGCAAATTTAATAATAAATTTGTCAAATTAAATCCATCGGTCCCGTTATCCTTTATACCCCATGATCTGACTGGAAAACTTCCAGAGGAGATTTTAACAATTACAGTAATGCTGGGCTAAGAATGATCTATTTTGGTATATACTAGTTTTTTTTTAGAAATTAATTTTTAGCAATACTCTGGGAAATATTCTTTGTCCTGCTGTATATAAGAATTCCCTGGGAAAGGTATTAAAAACCATTAACACCCAGGCCTTGGTCCCAGAAATTCTGATGCAACTGGTTCATAACGAAGTCTACCTTTTCAAGATTTCCAGAACATTCTAGAGTGATCTAGGGCTAAAGGCATCTGTCACTGGCACTAAACTCTTGAGATGAAAAATACAGAATTTCACCTATGCTTATTTGGAACAACATTTAAAACCTGTTCATGAAAATTCATCTGCAGTCACATATTACTGAAGTGGCTGAGCAAACTGTGGCATTTTAGTACTGGAATATTTAGTTAGTACTCATAAGCTAAGGAGTCCTGTGGCACAAAGGGTTAAGCACATAGCTACTAACCGAAAGGTTGGTGGCTTGAACCCACATAGCCGCTCTGCAGGAGAAAGACCTGGAGATCTGCTTCCCTAAATATTACAGCCAAGAAAATCTGTTTCTATTCTGTCACGTGGGGTCGTTACTAGTCAGAATTGACTTCATGGCACCCCACAACTCATAAGCTCAAGCAAAACGTCTCCAACAATTAGAAACTGACAGAAAGAAAATTGTCCTTTATAGAGTTCAGCCAAAACAAAGTGCTTTTGTCCAGTCACACTGCGAGAGATACAAAGAGCATTCGCTCAGCAAAATTCGGAAGGAGTAGTCTTAAATGTCTTAACATACCTAAAGAAAGAGTATGAAAGAGGCAGGGTGAGACATGCAAAGCAAGCAAATAAATAGCTGTTATAAAGCAAAAGTGGTGATAGCCCTTCAAAGTCCTGTGCCTAGAGAGAGCTTTTCCAATATAGTGCTTTCAGTTCCCTGAGGTAGCAATGGAAGCAGAGTGTTGCAGCCAAGGTGCCTCAGATAGTTTCCACAGCATCACACATCTTAGTTGATTTATGTAACTTCTCTGGTTCTAATTCCACAATGGCCAAGAGCACTTTCAAATGAGTATGACCTGGCTTTTTATATATCTTGACTACATTGAGGGAATAGCTGAATATTCCAATCAAACAAAACAACTGTATACATATAAGTCAATAAATTGGCATTAGATATGTTTTTTTTTTTAAAATCTCAGTTTCACTTGTCTCTCAGAGTCTGATTATCTCTAGGAAGAATGATGCCCTTAAAAAGAGGGGCATCTCCTAGAACACTACTTTTCAACTCAAAAGTGCGTTCAAGTCACTTGGGCATCTTGTTAAAATGCAGATTCTGATTCAGTAGATCTGGGGTGGAGCCCAAGATTCTGCATTTTTAACAAGCTCCCAGGGGATGCTTATGCTACTGGTCCATATTTTAAATAGCAGTTTCTTATGGCATAATAACAAAATACAGATGTCTATCAGAAAAGTCCTCCTAGCTCCAGCCAGCCTTCCCTAAACCAATGAAATGTGGTCCATACATACAATGGAAAATTACTCTGCCATAAAGAGAAATGAAGCCCTAACACATGTCACAACCGGGAGGAACTTTGAAAACATTATGTTGAGTTTAATATGTAAGACACGAACAGGGAACACAACAGAGAGTCCCTGATGGAGCAGGAGAAAAGTAGGGTGCAGAATTCAAATTCTAGTAAAAAGACCAGACTTAATAGTCTGACTGAGACTGGAGGAACCCCAGAAGACACGGCCCCCAGACTCTCTGTTAACCCAGAACTAAAACCATTCCTGAAGCCAATTCTTCAGACAAAGATTAGACTGGACTATAAGACATAAAATGATACTTGTGAAGAGTGTGCGTCTTAGTTCAAGTAGATACATGAAACTAAACGGGCAGCTCCTGCCTGGAGGCAAGATGAGAAGGCAGAAAGGGATAGGAGGTGGTTGAATGGACACGGGAAATCCGGGGTGGACAGGAGGAGTGTGTTGTCACATTATAGGGATAACAACTAGGGTCACATAACAATGTGTGTACAAATTTTTGTATGAGAAACTAACTTGAGCTGTAAACTTTCACTTAAAGCACAATTAAAAAAAAAAGACACGAAAGGACAAAAACTGTTATGATCTCACTTACATGAAATACCTACAGTAGGCAAATATGCAGAGGTTAGAGTTTAATGCTGGTTACCGGGGACAGCAGGGAAGGGAAAGAGGGGAATCATTGTTTAGGTAGCATTGAGTTTTCGTTTATGGGGATGGGAGATTTGGCAACAGATATTGGTGAGGGTTGCACACCATTTGTTTTATTGAATTGTACCGGTGAAAAATGTAGAATTGGCAAATGTTGCTGTTATGGATTGAATTGTGTCGCCCAAAAATGTGTATCAACTTGGCTAGGCCATAATGCCCAGTATTGTGTGATTGTCCACCATTTTGTGATCTCATGTGATTTTCCTATGTATTGTAAATCCTAACATCCTGAACTTCTATGATGTTGAAGAGGCAAGATTAGAGGCAGTTATGCTAGTGAGGTAGGACTTAACCTACAGGATTAGGATGTATCTTGAGTCAACTTCCTTTGAGATATAAAAGAGAGAATCAAGCAGAGAGGAGGTGGACCCCTACCACCAAGAAAGAAAAGTCGGGAGCAGAGCACATCCTTTGGACCCAGGGTCTGGGCACGGAGAAGCTCCTAGACCAGGGGAAGATTGATGACAAGGACCTTGCCCCAGAGACAAAAGAGAGAGAAAGCCTTCCCCTGGAGCAGACACCCTGAATTCATACTTCTAGCCTCTAGACTGAGAAAATAAATTTCTGTTTGTGAAAATCATCCACTTGTGGTATTTCTGTTATAGCACTACTAGATAACTAAGACAGTTGTGTTCTCTACATTTTTACAACAGTTAAAAATTATATGAATACCCACTAAGACAACTCAATCAGAATTCATGGAGACTGGGCATCTGATGGAGCTTATCATGTGATTCTAAAGTGAAGTTAGAGAGTTGTAAACATTGTTTTAGTACAAGGAGTTACATTTTACTTTTTCTTTTTTTTTAAATGAAAATTTGGGATTTAATGAAGCTAAATACTCTCTAAGACTTAATGATAGTGAACGTTTTTGAATAAAATTCTGTCTATAGCATTTAAAAATCAAATCCAAACGCTGCTTTAATTTGATTTATTTCATAGAAATAGCTTCTATTTTTAAAAGAAAATCAACACAGGTAGGAATTAGAATAAAATTAATTTTAATCGCTCACTTTCATTCCTACCATTTTATATTTATTCACTTGAATGCAGGAATAACTCAGGAAAGTGTTTGTGAAAAATATATTCCAGAAGATGGCTAGAATCAGAGTATAAGCCCTAGCTCATTGTAAACATGGTAATTAAATTTTTTTTCAAACCAGTTCATATCTATCATGTTGGTTCAAAAAACTGAGGATCATCATAATGATTTTGAAGTCAATTAGAGGATGTTTCTTATATGATTTAGATTTAAAACAGTCAATATTTGGTGTAAGCTGCTGTGTTTCAATTGTCTTGTCATTTTGTTGATTTCCCATTTATCAGATTTCTCCATTAATTACAAATGTTTTGTCATCTCTATTTGCAATGCTTTTTACCATTACTTAAATATCTGATCATTTTTAATTTTATTTAGTGGACCTAAAGGTTAGGAATGTTTCTTGGAATTGTCTTTCTCAAAAAAAAAAAAAAAAAAAAATTTCCAGAGTGTAAGAAACTGAATTCAATATATAGAAGAGCTTATGAGAGTAGGAAATGGGTATTGCATTGCGATTTCACTGAAAATTTACGTTTTTCATGGGTCACATATTTCGATATAATCTTTGAACGATTTTTTTTGAGATAACCTTCAAATGAGTTTATAAATATAGTCAAAAAGATATGCTAACAGTATTGATAAAAAAGGTACTTCTTACAACCTCAGACTTGTGTGATTCTTACTGGACTCCATCACTTTTAGTACCCAATAAATTAATATGTTATGAATAACACAACCTGTTACATTTCATTATTTTATATTAACACTGTTAAATTGTTTAAAATAAACATTTAAAATGTATCATAATTTTTTTTAAAGTTGTCCTGATTATTTTTTCTTCAGCTTATATGTATACTAGAATCTTCAAACCCCAGAAGTAGCTCAGGCTTGTCTCAAACTCTGAGAGTTTCTACCTCAATTGAGAAAATACAAAACTACACCTCTTCACTTATTGACTATCTCTTTATCTGACATTTTGCATTTATGACAATAGTAAAAAATCTGCTATCAGACTATTTTGTGTATTAGCAATGTTTGCTGAGGTGCAAGGCAAGAGTAACTCTGGCCCGGATGGTGAC